GGATCCGTGTGCATCAAGTTTGGACTGGGGACAGCCACTCAGATCCTAGAGTCTCTCAGGAAATCCAGGAGAGTCAAGGCACATGGCCTCAGGCTGCAGGACCCCAGCTGGGAGCTGTGCAGCAGTAGCCTGGGGAGAAGGAGGAGCTGGCCCTGAGCGGCCATGCTTATGGGCAAGGGGTTTTGGGAGGCCTGTCCCGGGGACTGTCACCTGACAAGGTTGAGGGCCTCCAACAACAGGCGATGTGCTTGGCTCTGGGACAAGGAAGCGTCTTCCTGGGAACACCGAGTGCAGCTAGGTTGGGGACAGGAGCTCCTCATTTCAAACTCTGTGGATGCTGCCGGCTGATGGTGGGGGGCGGGAGGCCCATGGTGTGGCTCACGACCTGGCGGGGACCACCTGGCTGTGCAGTGCTCCTGTGGGCAGTGGTCCTGCCACCTGCCTGGGGTCCTGCCCAGACCTCCACCATCAGGTTATTAGGGAGATGGTCAAAGGCATCCACCGAGCCAAGTGCAGATCCCCCTGGACCTGTAGGAGGCCCCCTGCCTTCCTGCACAAGCTCATCTTGTTCCCCTTCACAAACGCCCTGGGTCCTTCTCCACAACGACAAGACTGTGCCAGGCCCCCTTCAGACTCCTCCTTGGCCTCTGCTGGGAAGCTGGACTCCCGGTGTGTGGTTGGGGGTGAGGGCCCAACTCTTCTCTGACACACACCCCCACCGGCCCTATTGGTCTAGACCCCTCCGTCCCCGTGTCTCTGCTGCTGGTCCCCACAGCGGGCTGGGACAAGCACGGTGGGGATCAGAGCCTGAATCTCCAGGGCCCTGGTCTGGGGTGGCTTTCTGGAGCAGGGGCTGGGTCAGGTGAGTTGAACGGACCTGATCAAGTTCAGCCTTAGCCTCTGTCACTCTCTTCCTTTCCAGTTTGCGCAGAAACGCCCCCCAAGTCCGGTCTGGCACAGGGGTGGCCCCAGGTGCCTGCGTGGGAGCAGGTGGGGACTGAAGACCAGGCCCCCCAGGCTGAGCCACCCACCGCAAGGAGAATAGGCTCCCACCGACGCCTGGGAAACCACAGCCACTGAGAGATGGAAGTCGAGAGCTCACGCCACCTGCGTCACTATAAATCTCTATTTTCAGCTACGCAGCCCCAGGAAGTTACCCATTCATAAGTCTTACAAACTTTTTCTA